CAACAATTCAGTCAAAATGTTCATCGACATCAATTCGGTGTATCAAACACTGAGACAGATAGAGTTCAGATAAATACAAGACTACAGCTCGAATGTAAGCAGCTTCCTACCCGGACACTGAGCCGGAAAATGAAGGTGAATCGGAATGTTGTATCTACACCTCCGGTATCAATCAAAGTGCGAGGGTCCCACATACGTCACAACAGTTCGACGGTCTATTGCAATTGGCTAAGCAGAGTTGCGGAGCACAATGAGTAACCAGTCGGTGCAAGCTAAAGTCGAGGGCTCCAAAAGCTTGTGTAAAGAATGTAGGAGTGACTGACGACATCCATCCGAGGCGGTAGGGATGCACAGACTTTGTTGCCAACGAACAACGGTTTCCCAGGCTATCGTGCAGGCACGCATGTAGAGAGGACATTTCCGGCCCACCACGTACCACACAATGTCCTTCCGCTCGGCGTCACGTTAATGCCCCGAGTTAAGCCATTCCGAGGAGAGTTCCTGTTGACCGATTTGCTCTTGCATCTCCGCCTCCGCTCGTCGTATTCTAACCAGGATGGATTCGTTCTAATCACATTTGCTTGCTTAGTCGAGGTTGCATCGCTCTCCATGGGCCTATTCATGGAGAGGTGACCAAAGGCGCATCCCCGAAAAATCAATCTCTCCACCACTACGCCACCCACTCTTCTCTGCCTGAGCCGGATATTGTTTATTTCTCGTAGGCCAGTTCCAGCTACTTCCGAAGGTTCCGAGCAGCTCTGTTGATGGCCTATTTACATTTCTTCTTCCTTAGTTTCTACGGCTTGTCCGTTCCTCCTCCTGTGATTCTTGCCTTCCGCGCCACCACAATGTTAACCTATTGATGTGTGATACCCCTAACGAATCAGTTAGGGTGGCTCAAAGTCGGAGGCAATCCACTGCATAGAAAAATAGATAACGGATGCATCGGTCACCTGGATAAACATACCGGGAGAGACAAACGTAAGTCTATTTTCTGGAACGGACACTTGCGGGGCGACGCAGCTTTCATCGCCACCTCCAATTGCGCCTATTAAACAATTAAAATCACCAGTGAGAACACACAAACCGGTATTTGCTAGACAGAACCACGGTCCGCTAACTTTCGTGTGCACTAACGTTGACGAGTCTAAATCGGGCACAATAAATGATAAGTTTCTATATGATCGCAGTTAGTGAAATTCCATCTGCGACGCAGTTGGTATCCAGGTGGAGCCCACTATACTGAGACGCGTAGTGCATCACCCCCCAGTGCACTACGGTGAACCACGAAGTCTATGAGTAACTCTAAACTCAGCAGATGAGACAGAGCCTGTCCTACTCTCAGCAGTTTGTTTTCACAAGTCATAACTGTTTGCAGTTTCTCACCGTTACTAATGATTTGTGATCGCCGCAAAGATTCCCTTCTTGATTCTCGGAGAGCAACACGGCAACTTCAAGACATGGCGAGCGATCAGCGAACCGGATGACCACGAAAGACTACAGCGCGAACTTAACGGGATTTCGAACCGATCAGTTCAGAAAACACTACCAACTAATATATATATATATATATATATATATATATATATATATATATATATATATTTCACAATCTGTGTGTGCCCCATGCACAGGCTGATGTTGCATTTATGATGCATCTTCACCGCAATTGGGCTAAACCAACTAACATTTGAACTAGGTCTTTTAAAGCTGGATAAATTTCCTTCCACTTTAACTGGTTTGTTCTGCCTACCTAATAATCTTCTGTTAACTTGCGCACTTTGCTTACGTTAATTGTGGTTGTCTTTGTTAACTTTATTGCGTTTGTAGCATTTTTTGAGTAACTTCTGTGCATTTTGTACTTATCGCAGCTTTGTTGCTAACCAACTTACATCATATGCTAATTTAGGGAAGAGTTATGTCTGCATAGCCGTATTCTTTAACAGATATATTTTATTTGATAATGTCATTTCAAGTGACTGGCTGTTGCTAGACATCCCCGGTGTGGCTGCGCTTGATGTGCATGTTGACAAGGTGCCTACCTGTCTGTTATCCACTACCGCGTCCATACTGGCTCTAGTTGGTCGTTGCTGGAGAGGAAGGGGTGCACGGTCCTTGTGGCCATGTTAGGGTCAAAGAGTGGTTCCATGCTCTCAGTGTGGAGCGGACTGATGTCCAGCCACCGGCTTGTGTGCGCTGAATTCCCAAATACGGCGTGCTTGTGTTTGCCTGTGAAGGAGTGTGAGCCGGCTCCGTTGATGAAACGTGGCTCCCATCCACATGCCTCCCGGTCTTATTCCTTCGGGTTTACATTGGATATGGGATGTGTGGTTGGAGCTGTGGGTGGTGCAGCGCAAGCCACTCATGGTCCCTCTGTAGGCGCAGGCGTCCTGTGGCTGGCCACAGTGACTGGCAAATCTGAACCCCGATGCTGCCAACCATAACGTAATCTGTGTACAGATACTGTGCCATCAGGACCATGGCAGAATAGGCTAGCAAAGCTATTGTAAAATAAGAAGGAAAACAAAGGTTTTTTGTCCATTTTCCACCCACAGTTTTTGAGCTTTTTCAACGATTTTTATTTGGTGAGGGATGGGGAATCACCGCAACAAGCAGAGATACACGCCCGCCACTGAGTTCGGTTTCGAGCCATGAGTTCCAACGTTTCCAACCAAGTGCACTCAGCATCCCTGGGACCCCATCCAGGGAGTCGGAAGGAACCAACCGTGGCCAGCAGTTTCGTCAGCTATTTCATCCTACTTCTTCGAGTTATAGGCTGTCGAACCCTGTCCAGCGACCACGAACAACGCACGACGCGGAAGACGCTGAACGGGCATACGCAGTACGTGTCCGAGCCATCGTAGTTGGCGCAGCGAGACAAACACCTCGACGGAGTGCTTGTCTCCACCAAAAACATGCTGTCTGACCTCAGTGTTGGTTGCGTGGTTCAGACATCACACACGGGCGATGGACCACAAGCAACGGTTTTCGAAGCCAGACAGTCGACGTAGGTCATCGGTACGAGCAGGCCAAGTCTCGCAACCGTACAACAGTACAGAGCCGACAGTAAACTATAAACCCGTCCTTTAATAGAGAGATGGATGTCATGGCGGCGCCATAAATGCCTCAGCCTGGAGTAGGCGAGACGAGCTCTTGAGATACGCATCGAAATCTCGTTTGCAACAGCCCCACCCGCAGTTATGTAGCTTCCCAGGTAGACAAAACTCCTTCCAAAACTACTTCTCAGGTTTCTACATCAATGGTGAGTGCAGGTAGGGGCGTATATCAGTCTCGAAAAAGTGCTTTGCGCTTGGATGGTGAAAAGTGCATGCCATACTTCGACGATTCAATCGCCAGGTGATTAACTGCAAGTTGGACGGTGTGCGGACCGTCAACCAACAAGACGATATCATCAGCGTAATCCAAATCAACCACCCGACTACTTAGGAGGAGCTTAACACCAACGTACAACAAGTCTAGAACATTTTTGAGGACATCCTTAATGGCAAAGTAGAAGAGGAATGGAGAGATAGGGCATCCTTGACGAATCCCACTGGTGACAAAAAAGGAAGGCGAAAGCCTGTCATAAGCCCTAACTCTATCCGAGATCAGACTATGCAGAGCACGTAGAATGGAAACGAACTTCCCGGGAACACCATTCCTCAACAGACAATGCCACAATTCAGCCCTGTGGACAGAATCGAAGGCAGCACGGATATCCAGGAACACAACAATTGTTGGTTTTTGATACACATGGCGGAGATCGAGAATCTGACAAGGTGAAAATCCGATCGATGCAGCCGCGACCAGGGCGGAACTCTGCCTGTTTTTCTCGCTGTAGTGATTCACGCGTTGGAGATAGCCTACGACAGCCTGCTGGGAAACGCATTCGCGAGATTTGACTCACTAATCTTCCCGATGAACTCTTACGTGTGTCCCCACGTAGTATACGCTATCCAAATTTGACGAACTTAGTTGAACCGCTATCTGGAAGTGCTGGAGACACCACAATGCACGGCAACAAAGACTGTCAAGGACCTACGCAATTTCTCTTATCAGCAAAGCCTGAATTTGTTCGGAATTTTCAGCGGACGCTACCGAAGTTTACGCGGCAACCTTATAGTTGTGTAACAAATATTCAATGACCCCTACAACGTATGCCACCATTTGCTGCAATGTATCCATACCACCAAGCTTGGAAGTAACTGTCTGAAACAGAGTGGACAATACAACGCATGATGAAGATTAAATCAGCGTCATCTAAGCGTTGGCGAAGTTGCGCCCTACTGACCAGCTGCTGCAAGGCTTGTAGTGAGTGGTAGCTTACAGTCTGGAGATTTCCCCAGTTTACTTGTGTAAAATTCTAACTAAAACATTATTGTATTGTACAATTATGCGACCGGTGAGAATTGTTAAACCGCATGTTGAGTTCGATTGTTTGAGTCAAGCATTGCCAGTGCTTGGCGCTCGTTTCGAATGCAACACGCAATCGTTTTGTATGATGTGCTCTTTCCGTTCCCCTATCTGTTAGCGTCTACGGTATCGTCTTTTCATTGCTATGAGAATAGTGAATTCTTTGTTGTACGAAATAAAAGTTTCCGAGCAACTCGATCTACTTCTGGAATCGCTATCTGGACACGCGCTAAACGTTGTGCACTCAACGACATTCGAAGGAATAGTTTATCCGATTTGTCAAATCGATGGATAGCTTCCACGAGTGGAGTCAACATATGTATTATGGAGCAGGAAGCAATACGAAATTTGAAAAACAAACTAACGGGCTTTTGCACTAGAAAGCTACATTGATGGAGAGGACATACAAGGGGTCTGCGAGGAATAACGAAAAAGTTCAGGCTTAGTCCTGATGACCGGGTAAAGTGAGATGAAACGAAGACGTAAAGATGATGGAAGTTCGTTTGAAGCGAAGGAACGAACAAAACACAGTCGAGATAAACAGATAACCACAACACAGAGTAAAGTCGATGGAACTGTCTTTAGCTAGCCGGGGATCATAGAGCCAATACAAAATTAGAAAGATCACGACGATGAGCAATAAGTGTGTTTTGGGTACGGGTCTGTCTGAATTGTCATTGTGCTTGTGGCCTACTTTGAGGTAGGGACCAACTGGAAACATCCGATTCGAAGAGGACCTTTCTGGGCAGTAGCTTCAGCCTACAATAAAAAGGTCAACACGGCCGTGAATGAAGAATAGGCAGTTAGGATAAAAGAATGAAAAGCATTGGTTCCGTCACTCACCGTCCCAGATAAAACCATAGCACAGTTCCGGCAGTGTTCCACAACACCAGCGCTCCCACGTACACAAACAGACAGTAGAGGGCGCGACTCAGGTATTCTCGAGTGGCCAATAGCCAAGCTTCGGACTGTTGTACAACTTCTTCGAAGTACTCGGATACATTGTAACTAAGAGAAGGGAACAGTTCCAGATATAACGTAAATAACGCATGCGGCAATGGTAGGAATAAGTCTACGTAACACGGTGAGAAGCTGATCATTCAAGGGGTCAAGTTTACAAGGTTAGTGAAATGCAGAATATAGTGTGTGTGTGTGTGTGTGTGTGTGTGTGACTATTGTGCCACCGGCAGGGGTTCAATGGATCGAGGACTTCCTGATCGCAAGCAACGCACGGAGAATACTGCTCTGATGTGAAGCTGGTCGGTCTCTCGATAGGTCAGACTAAGAAAAGCCGATTGATCATCCGAGTGCATAAACGTATCCGACCATCCAACGACCCCTACGTACAGGCTATGTTGCGTGTGTGTGAGAAAACTTCCAAGGTTTTCATCGTTAGTGAACCCAGCTCCGCCTGTTGTAATCGTGTAATCAATGACACGCAAGCTTGAGTGGACAAATCTTAGATAGGACTTTCTGGATGCGAAACGTGGGAGACCGGTATAAGCCCCATCGCCGTCTAGCCAATTTCGTGTGTGCCTCAGGGAAGGAGGAATGCAGGCTATGATATGGTGAAGAGGCAATAAAAACAGCTTGGGAATTTAACCACACATTACACGAAGCTGCCAATTAGGGTTCAGGAAGTGGATTAGCACGCTGGAACAAATTCAATCCAGACGGACTCACTCTCATCGTCGTATAGTATTGAAAGTGGACAACGAGGAGGAGTGAGAAAACAAGAAAATACAGTAACTCCAAGCATAGCACGTTGTTATATGACATAAAATTGCAAAATGGTGGGTCTAACAGTTCGAAGTAGCAATACCAAGAAGTACACGGCTGTGATACAGGAGACAGATGCCCTAACTAATTACACGAAGTCCGATAAAGAAGATTAGTGTCAAGGAGAACTAATCATATCAACAGATTCTTCGTGTTTTCTGCAACAACAGCGACTGACAAGACTGGAGTTCGTCCAACTAGACACAGAATCGACGCCACCAAGCATGACAAAGAGCATGCAGGTCGGATTCAAAAGAAGTCCTAAAGAACTTTACACTGAGTTTATGATGATCTGCATGCCGAAGTGGAGAAATTCGAGGAATACAGACGTTCTGTCATTGATTGAGGTGACTCTTCAATGCTTGATAACACGGATCTTCCCCCGATGACACGCCGAGCTCTGCAAACTTTCAAGTGGGAACCGTGTTCCACTAGGATCAATTGAATGATTGCTTATAATCGCTGTGAAGATTGCTTCTATGGGTGCACCAGTTATACTGAAATTAGGAAGCACTTAGGAGGCTATTGTTTCCCTGTTGCCCAGCTTACAACCTCGTGTTGTCCAATGTGGCAATTTCCAGTTTGACTAAGCATTCTTTCGGGATCCGTTGCAACTGTAGAATGACTTACGAAGTACGCCGATACACAGCACCGACGCTTCGCTGCCGCGTATGGACTGGGGATACTACAAGGGTCATCCGGTCCCTACAAAGGCTTGAACTCGCGCCCTCGGATTACAAGGCATTCTTGTGATCCATTCGTCACCGGTCACGAGTTACTTATGCCGAGCAAAAGTATCTGTGGGAATTGACGACAATGCACGCTGGATGCAGACGATACAAAATACGTGCACACACGATGACAGTGCTCTTTTCATGCAAGCACTAACGCGTAAATGGCATAAAATCCCAACTTATAGTTATGGTGCTATAGGATATGGCGCTTAGTAAGCAGATCAGATGCCGACGACAGCGCTGAGAGTAAAACAGAGTTGTAGCATAACTTGATAAACTGGTAGGAACCGTTAAAACTTATTTGAGAGCAAAAAATCGGAATAGGCCACAAGTGCATATCAAGATAGGCGTAACAAAAGGGCATTGTCTCATGCACGGATTCTCCTTGGTCGCCGGTCTCAATGGCAAGGCGAGCAAGTCGCTAAGTTTCGTCATCATCATCAACAATGGCACATCAGCCATTTGAACTGATGGTTCGCTACCGTCTAATCATATCGACTTACAAAACGGAGAACAATAAGAGAGAGTAGAGAGGCTTACCGGAAAACCTTAAAACCATAAGCAAACATTTAGGGTCAAGGCAATTACACCTGGTGTCAACAATATACCGTGGCGAACTATTGGATATCGTGCGAAGATAAGACGGTATTATGAAGGAGGCTTTCAGCGGCTTTCACCGCCCAGCGTCATAATCAATCAGTACCCTACAGATAATTCACCACTACACAAAATACAAACAGACAGTCCAATTACGAGATGGCAGCAGACGCGTCACTGCTGTCGACTGCAAACCATGTTCTGTAAAGTTTCAAGCCAAGCAAAAGGCGAGTCACGTGGACTCCATCCTGGAAGAGGAGACGGACCAAGGGGACGCGGAGACCACATTTCCCGCTGCCGAGTCAACTTCGGTCTTGCATCGTCCTACGTCTGGTAGGTAGAACAAGCCGCACCTCAGTAAGCAATGATCAGGCATACCAGGTGCGTGCCCAAGCCAACGCAACTTAATCAGTGCTATCTGTTGTTCTAAGGAAATGGCCTGGTTACCATTGCATAGTATTACCCTACGTACATCGTCGTTGCGGATACGCTGGTGCCATCCTACACCAGCAATGTTCCGCAGACAACGATGATCAAGGGCTTAAAGGCGCCTCGGACTGAAGATGCCAAGTTTGTTTACAATAAAGTAGGGCGGCCCTCACTGTGGCCTTGTGAACACGGTCATTCAGACCGAGAGAAACTCCTTTCTGTCGACAAAAATATCGCGGATTCAAAAACGCAGTTTTAGCTTTTGTAACACGTGAACTGATTTCAGTGCTTTTGAATCCATCGTTGTTGATGCAGCTGCCAAGGTTAGTGAAACGATCAACCACATCGAGTTACTCGTTATCGAGGGTTAAGGTGCATTAGGTGGCTGGTGGTTCTGCAGCAACACTTTGCAACTTAAATCTGTAAAGCACATGCCAATAATGGGACCACACTAGAAAAGTTATTCAGGGTTGATCGTGCCGCCCCAAAATATCGTTAAGAAGGAAGACAATACCGTCTGCATAATCAAGATCAACTAGCTTCTCACCAGGCAGCAGGTCAACGCTTGCGTCGTGGGAATTCGCAAGGGAACACTGCATGATGCAGTCCACGAGGGGGGGGGGGATGAACAAAAACTGGGAAATGGACGACCCTGGGGAACGACACAACTTATCCGGAAGTTATCCGACAGATCATCATAGGCGCTGACGCGGCCTGTGGTGTTCGAGTGAAGAGCACGCAGAAGGATTACATGTGTTATGCAAACACCATTTCACATAAGAATGTCGAACAGTATGTATCGATCGATTGAATCTAACGCAATCTTGAAGTTGAGGAATACAGCTATCGTCGGTCTGCGGTATGCGTGGCGCTGGTCTAGCACCTGCTTCAAAGTGAGTATGTGGCCTAAACAGCTATCCCCGGGCGGAAACCTGCCTGTGTATCGCTAATGCAGGATTCCCTTTCCGGACTGAGGAGAAGAACTAGAACTGTGGACAGTAGTTTTGTCACCATTGGCGTTAGGCTAATACACTTGTGGTTAGCACAGTAGGTATCACTGTCCCTTTTGTATTTTGCCACTATAATCGATTCACTCCAATTAGCTGAGACACACACTTCCTTCTAGACCTGTCCGAACAGGGAGGTGTGTTTTGCAGAGGACCTCACCAACATCGTTAAATAGCGCAGGTGGCACAGTATCCGGACCAGCAGCTCGAAAACGATTGAGGACTATGGTCTGCCTTCAATGGAGCCTACAAACTAACCGCCCATGGATCATCCTGCATCATCTGAGTAGCAGGGGGTCAACAGAACTGAGCTTGAAAGTGCTCCGCTCAAAGAGCCTTACGGCGCTACTTATTGTGAACCAGTGCACCCGCACTGCCTCTGACTGACTTACTGACGCCTGGTTTCCTGGAACCAGTGGAGCAGATAAGCTGGAACCGCTTGAGATAATTGCCTACTGCCACCGCCTCCTCCATTACTTGAACCTTAATGGTCCATCAGGCTTTCTTGTCAGCACGCAGGATCCGCTTTAATTCGCGCCTAACAGTACGCCTGGTCACATTATGCTCAGAGCCAACCGGGAGGATTCTTCCGAATTCCAACAGATTCGCAGACCTCTCGGATATCCAGTGACTCGTGGGGTGACGCTTCGTAGTATCACAAGCAGATGTGCCAGCGTCGTGCATGGCAACTGAGATGTTATCCCACTGAAGCTCAGCGTCATTAAGACAAAAGAGCGTAAGTTCAGTACGCAGTGTATCTTGGTAAGCAAGCCTGACCGAGGGCAGAGATATTATCTCAGTTCCCAAGGGAGTAAAACGCTTGGTGTGCCTCCCAGTAAAGTTCACCGAGAAAGGACAGCGTATTAAAACATGATCAGTAGCTTGAAAGTCAACATGGAGCAAAAAAAGAAGGCTCCTGTAAGCCTCACAGTCCAGAGAAAACCTATATTTCTACAACCGCCATACCTGAGAGAAATAGACGCCGAAATATTAACTTGTTGCCTTCGCCACCTGCTCAGACACACTCTCGCGGCAGCTAAAATGCAAATCCAGCTCGTCGGTAGCCCAATGGTAAGAACTAACTCCAAAGACAAGAGGCCCGCCCACGCCAAATCAATGTGCATTTACTCGTTCTCATGTTCCTTACCTTGGCCGAACAACGAGGCGTCTGTCTGACAGGGTTAGGGAACACCATCCGGTCTGGCTTATGACTGCTTGTCGAAAACCAATCAGCTCGGCCATAGCTACGCATCTCGCTGACACTGGCCATGCAATTGAGATAGCTGAGTCATTCAAAGTGATTTAGCAGGCCTAGGACAATCGATCAAAGTGCGTCCGTAGGCGTTTGCTTGAATCCGCCGTGGCCATCGCTATTCCTCTGGCGTTCAAGAAAGGTTCGCTCAAACGTTGAGAATGCCTTGGCTCACTCGAAACGTGACGCGTGGCCCACAGAGTTGTGTGCACACTGCAGTTGTGACCCGACGGACAGCGATTGTGCTTGATCAGTGAATGTGAACTGAACGTAATTTGGCAAGCACAACGTTGTGTCTAACAGTTTTTTCCACCTATAATCGTGCAAGCCTGATGAAGAATTATTGGAAACACATGTTCGCCACTATCGACTTTTAATCGACAATGGGAATTTTTGGCAACACTTATCAGAGTAAACGCAAGTACTCCAGAACGAGCTGCAATCCAGGCTAGAACTACGTCACCTGTAACTTACAGCAAAGTGATCTATTTGGGTCCATCGCTGGCCAGCCACAGGAGAACGCCTAGTGGCAGTTCCGCGCCCCTTATGTATGAAAGCTGCGCTACTAAGAAACATCCCGTGCTCCGCACATAGCTGTAACAGGCGCTCACCGTTGTCCGTCCGGTCGGAGTCAAGTCTATATTTACCACCCAGTGAAGCTTCTGAAGAGCCCAGGCGACCTACTTGTGCATTCATATCCTCTGCATAAACTAAGATCTCTGTACTAGTAACCTGTCGGAGTAGCGTGTTCATTTCGTAGCAGAATGTGTACTTGGAAGTAGGTGGAAGCATAAGCGGAAACCACAAACAGTGTTTTGTATTACATGGTGAATCAACCATATTTGACGTCGTCAAAGGGGCTACACACGAACGGGCGTTCACCAGAATCCAATCAACCAACGATGGCTCAGCATTGGAGCTGAAAATGATACCTACCCCCAACTTGCCCCGTGAGTGCTTCATCAGCGTCCCCGGACGCGTTCAACTAATAGGGAGAAAACAAGTCGGGTGCAGTTAATTCAACAACCCGGTAAGTGTCATTGATCCTAGTTTCCGATATGCAACACATGTCTATACCAAGTGTGTTCAAGTGCTTGCGAGTGCAGACTGTTGGCCTAGTTGTCTTAGAATGCGAACCTTGGACGCCAGCAGGGAAACGGGACAACGTGGTCTGATAAGTTATTGTTTACTATACGCGTCCAGTGGGTGGTGGGGGAAGGTAGCTGCATTTGTGTTACTCCGGAGGTATGGCGGCTGCCGCTGGTAATGAGGTTGGGAGGGGAGTAAGAGAAGCAGATGGAAAAGAAAGAACGGGGACGCCAGAAGCAGCATGTCTTTGCTTATCCGGCCTGCTGTATGCAGCAGATAAGAGACGACAGTTGATAATCTGTGCGACGGCCGACGCAGGTTATAGTTAAAAAAAAACTTTGGAAATCGTCACAATTGTATGTGGACTGAGATACTGCCAGGGCGCCCGGACTTATATAGATTATGATCCTCAACCAAAGTTTGAGTTAAAATCCTATCAGAAAGGCAGCGTGGAGGTGGCAATGATCTAGTTTTACAGAAACGGACGCCATCCCACTTCAAACCCCAACCTGGATGACCAGGAGAATGAGTTTGTCTGATCCCTAATAATTAACCAACGCAGTAGGAGTAGCTCTCAAGGAACCGGGGGGGGGGCACCACCCAATATAGCTCAAAGGATCAAAGAGGTACGCAAACCATCGCAACACGCTAAGGTCCAGTCTTGTTGCGACGGACCAATGAACCACACACCACCTCCCCAACTATCATCAACACTACACCACAGCACACACCACTAGGCGTTAACTGTCATCTATTATGTATTGTGGGTTCCACACTATGCTTGTTCTCTCTTTACGTGCAGATCCTAAACAATGGGAAAAGAGGTGGGGGAGTGTAGCGATGGAAATGAGCGGTGCCGAAAACCTTCCAACACTCCGATGCATGTTTACATACGCCGGACATAAGCAGAAACGATGGAAATCAGTTTACACGGCCTCACTATCACGCACACACACACACGCAAGTGGTACATGATGCGCAAAATGTTCCACCGTAGAGAAACATACTCTTTGAAGAGTCGGGGGACGATTGCATCCAGAGGGCAGTGGGGAACATCCAAGCGACGAGCATCGGCTAATTCTGCTTCGCGTTCCGATCGTGTCATTCGGCAGTGTCTGGGCACCGGTGCGTCCGTGGCCTGACTTGTAGCCCCATCGCGGCCGTGTTGAGAATCAGTTCGTTGAACAAACGCGGAGATGGGCTGAACATCTTGACCATTGTGGATCACATGGACTGGTAAATGAAGTTTGTTCAATGCAGGATTGCGGCTGATTTTCGCAGCCATCTGGGTGCGAACTTGTTGAGCCGCAGCCTGTTAGGTTGAGAGGCGAGACGGGGCAAAAGCAGAGGTCTGTAAACTGGCTAACCGTGAACAAATTCAAAAAAGACGAACGATCTGTGTCACGAGGGCGAGCGCAAGAGCGCCACATAATCGAGTGAGACTGAAAGTGTGGGAGCAAAGATCCCTGTGCTTATGTGAACCGCATAACCGTGAAGGCCTACCTTGTAGGTCAGAAGTAGGTGACATTGTTCTTGCTCGATTTCTGTGAGCCAAGAAGTCCACTCGTGTAGCAGATGCTGCGAATCACGCATACGGCGACCCATTTCTGCTTCTAGGCCGGCGACTTCGTACTGGTTCAGCCGCTGAGCAGATCTGGTCACGTGCGAATTGACCAGACGGGCATGCAGATGAACTGGTAGTATCTGACGGTGAAGCGGAAAAACAGGATGATGTGCGTTGAACGAACATCCAAGAAGATACTAGCGTAATAGAGAGCATCACAGCGGAATACTCCGTCATGCAACGAGAAACCGCCGACCCCCATACCACATGGCAACGGCCCTGAGGACTAGTAAAAAATTAAGGAATTCATTAACATCTCATGGTGTCCGGTGAGATTCTATGTATGTTGGGGTAAATGAGGTTGAATCCAAGGAACAGAAACGGTGCAACGTAGCGAAAGGTCACGGGGGCACAATGAGAACGAACACGAACCAGTGATATAATAATGGCACTGCCCCATGCGATGAGAACGTACCAAATTATCATAGTAACCAATGTAGTCGAGTGTGTCTTGCGACAGCAGCCGATCCAAGTGTGCAGACGCCTGAGTCACGATGAGTAGGGCGAGTACACTGGCACACACCTTACGCACTGTTCCCGGTTGCATTAACTGTGTAGAGAGAGAGAAAAAGGGAATGGCAGTATCCTGCTATAAATCGGTGCCGCAGAGGCACTAGATGGATACATCATAGTGAAAGATTTGAGCTGTAGTAAAAGGTAAGTGATCGCCTAAGAGAGAACTCAGGAAACAGTAAGAAGAAAGAGGAAATTGGGTAAGCTGTATGCAGACGTAAAAGTATGGTACATGATGCACGCTTCGATTGTGAGAGGAAACGTGCAAGCGACCAGAGCGCAGCCACAACGGGTCGGCTATCGGACGAAGTGTGGCTGAGCTACCACCACTAAGCACTGAGCGGTAGTCTCATCAAACGAGAGCCCACCATTCGTCGAGGAACCAACAGTACAGTCCTATTTTTGCGGCATACAAGTAGCTCACAAGAGAACACAGGGAATTTCAGTCCTCAGTGTAATTGTGGTGAGCAAGGACAGCGGGATGGAACAATGGAACAATGGTTTATTACGGGTAAAAAAGCGTTGCTTAACAAGTCCCGTAGGATGGAAATTATTGTGAAAATCAATTGCATGATAAAGTGAAAAGCGTTGTGGTGGACTCACCATGGACTTATGTGGAATAGCAGAGATGTTCGCGTATTAAACATATAAATCCATAAATCCATTGGTTAGGCGTTTGGTAAGACACCGTTTGATTGCGTTTTGTAGCCCCTGGCTAACAAGTCATAAAATGAAATGTAAGTGAGAGAGTGCATCGTCAACACGTTTTTTAAATATCGCCAGATTGGGAGCAGAGACGACATAATTAGGGAGGGCGTTCCAAGGCTGGCACACGCGGAGAGAAAAGAAATTTCTACGGCATTCAAGCCGGCTATACTGAATTGTCAATTTCAGAGGGTGACCTCTTAGTTTAGTGTTGTGGTTCAATTCCAGCAGCGGACGACAAATGTGGTTTGGGTTCTTCAGAATCTGGTAAACCATTATGAGATCCCCCCGCAAAAGCCGATATGGACTGCTGTACATTCTTAGAGATTTCAGTCTAAGCTGATAGGGCAGATGAAAGAGGCCCCTGACATTCTTGGTTGCCCTTCGTTGAGGAGTCTCGAGAGCAACGTAATCCTGTTTCTGCCACGGCTGCCACACCTGAATAGCATATTCCACGTGAGGTCGCACGTAGGCGTTAAGCATTTGGGGATAAACCGCCTCATGAAAACTGGCCACCTTATCTGTTGGCATATGAAATGGTAAAATGCCACGTAACTAATGTGATGAGACAAAAAGCTGGCAAGTCATAGCATTTCGTATTGCGTCATCAGTACCGAAAACAATAGCTGGAGAATATATATTTAATTGCAAAAGAGTGCGACCGATGTATCTTAACCCGTTCGTATGCAGTGTGTATATTTGTACACAAGCATAGAATCATTTTCCAATGGTAACACTACCTAAGAAGCATTTAAAATTCAGTTTGTGTGCAAACAGACACAACCGTCCATTTTTGGGTATACTTTGCTTCGTTTCTGCACCCAACTAGGGATTTTATTATTCAAACGGTGTTACAGGGAAAATAAGCATTACTTGGTAGTAAGGGATTTTTATCGTCTAGCTTGCTGACCTACCTTTAAGTTTAAGCGAAGACGCAAAAGTTGATTTCTCTACGCAAACACAGCTCGCCGGGTGTCGACACCATTCGTCCAGAGGCATTGGGAGCAGCAGCAAGCCAACTGGCAGGACCTTTAGCTCAGTTCTTCCAGCACTGCTTAGACCAGAACCAAGTTTTCGCCATGTGGAAGCTTGGAATTATAACCCCGATTCACAAAGGTGGAAGCAGATCTGATCCCTCCAATTACCGCCCAGTATCCCTTCTTCCTATACTCTCCAAGGTCATGGAATCCATAGTAGCCGATGCACTGCTGTGCTATTTGGAAAACTGCAACCTCATCACTCCTGAACAGTACGGTTTCCGTCGACAGCGGTCTTGTACAACAAAGTTACTAATTGCACGCAGTAGTCGGACCAAGGCAGCTGACGCTGGAGAAGGTGTTGACGTGATCTACCTGGATTTTTCCAAGGCTTTCGATCGTCTAGACCATTGGATACTACTATCCAAGCTGCAGCATTACGGGATCGGAGACCCTCTTTTAAGCTGGATCGCCAACTTTCTACTTCAACGGCAATTAGTGGTCGGAGCTCTTTATCGGACCAAATACAAGTAGAGTGTGGTGTGTCGCAAGGCTCAGTTCTAGGTCCACGTTTGCTTTTAGTGTTTATTAATGACCTTGCACAGGGAATCGCTTCAAATTTCCTAATATTTGCCGATGATATCAAGATCTGGCGCAGGATCCAGGCGAACACCGACCAACATGTGCTTCAGAGTGATTTAGATACGATGTATCAATGGTCGACCCAAAACTCATTGCATCTAAACGTCACTAAATGCAAGGTGCTTTCCATCCGACATCAGAGCAGCTACTCATACAGACTCAGAACGAATATACTACAACAATCAAATCTCGAACGTGACTTGGGTGTCCTGGTTCAAGATGACTTGGGTTGCTCCAGGCAATCAGAAAAGGCCTCGAAGACCGGGAACCAACACGTCGGGCTGTTGAGGCTGGCGTTTGGACAAATAAACAGCTCCATATTTCGACAAATGCTCAGTGCGTATGCTCGCCCCCATGTCGAATATGCAATTCAAGCCTGGCATCCATGGCTGAAACACGACCTTAATGCACTGGAGCAGCCACAATGCCGGGCATCTAAGAACGTAATTGGAATGCGCAGTCTTTCCTACCAGGAGAGGCTGCAACGACTGGGATTGTTCAGTGGAAGCTATCGCAGACTACGAGGCGACCTGATTATGGCATACTTGATTCTGCGAGACCCACATGATGTGTGCCGCCCTTTACTGCAACTCAGCAGCAATACAAACCTGAGGGGCCACTCATTAAAACTCGCAGAACAATACAATCGTCTGGAGTGCCGCAGAAATTTCTTTTCCATTCGTGTCTGTCACCCGTGGAACGCTCTCCCAGAATCGGTCGTCTCTGCACCGACACTAACAGTATTTAAAAGACGGATGGATGATGCACTCGTTCACTTACACTTTGTCACTTAACACTACGTCTCCATCCTACACCTGGAGTTTACCATGGAATTATTTGTTGTTAACTGTGGGTGCTGTGAATCTAAGAGGATCGCAGGACTGCAGCGAAGCAAACGATAAGTCCTTATTTTCATATTTAAAGTATGAACTATTTTACTATCCTTATCATCATTATTGTTATGTTGATATCCCCCCCACCTATCCAACGGGACATGTAAAGTAACGCTTTTTAACCCGTATAAATTCATTGTTCATTGCTTATGACACATAATTAATAAACTGCATTCCAGTTCGACGTGTAGTTTTGTTATTTCGCAGAAGACCACATTATTCCATGAACAATGCTTTTTAAAGTGATGATGTACACAAACGTTCACGCCATGACCCATCAAAGTAGAAAGGTAGACATAAAAGTATGGCGACTGGGTTTTATACATCGAGTCACCAAGATTTTGGAAACCTATTTTCGCTGAATAATGTTCCCATTCATTAGTTCATTTATAGTTTGAGAAGCAGAAAGCGGCACCAGCAGACCCAGAAAACCAGTCGTCAGTGAGACAGGCAAAGACAGCGCGAGTGTACTGATTCACAATAAGGAAAGTTGTGCGCCTCCCTGAAAGGAGTGCTTTCGAGAGCAGTTCAGTTGGCCCTCTATTATTGTACCTATTCTCAACCAGGCGGTACAAGCTTAGTCTTGGCTGGTTTGTTTAGAAGCTCTGAGATGCCATCACAACGCTTAACCGTTTTCGGGCTGCTAGCCCCGATTCCATCGCAACCGCAATATGAAAGGATGATGGTGAGGTCCTCTGCAAACCACTGAGCTCCCACTTCGAACATGTCTTGAAGGAAGAGACCGTCCCGGATAACTGGAGTAAGTAGATTATATTGGCGATATACAAGAAGGGCAGTCGTACCGACTGTCCTAATCATATGGAGATGAGGCTAATGCCGATGGTGACAAATTTACTGGCTTCAATTCATGTTTTTCTCCTCAATACAGGAAGGAGATTACTGAATTATGGAAGAGCAGGCAGACTTCGGCCCAGTACAGATTTGATAAACCGCATAATCACTATGCGGCAACTGCTAGAGTAGTGTACACATATCATTAACTATTTATACTCCCAGTACTTCAAGAGTGCGTTCGACTAAGTCGATCGATCTGTTCTGTTCGAGATACTTCTGCGGAAAGATGTTTCCACGAAATAAGTGAACGTTCTACGTACTCTCCAGTTGAACACTACAGGTCACGTCAGCCTCTGCGATGACTTGTCGAACATCATCCTGACAACAAGTGTGGGTTGTCCAATTTCCCCATTTGGTTCAACTTCATCGTGGGATCCACCATGGGTGTATCCTTTCGGAGCTTCCAGATGCCTGGTGAAAAGCTTGTCGATCTTGATTGTGCAGACGGTACTATCTTACTGTTGAACGATGCTAGAGCAGCACAATCAACCGTCAATAACCTCTCCAGATCGCCCCAACATTTGGCAAGTGCTTTGCACATTCAAAGTGCAAAGCGCTGTCACAGGATCACCAGCCACTTGATGCTCCTTTGCCCTTAATGGCGAGGAACTCGACGTAGTTGATCAATTCACTTACCTTGGTAGATACATCTGCAATGATGTGTGCATAGTAAGTGAAGTCAGTTCACGTATCGCAAAAGCTAGAAATGCCTTCTTGAATCTGAGACATTTGTGGCGTCGGAAAGGGTTTCCCTCGGTCTGAAACTCCACGATTACAAGGCCGTAGTAAGGGCCGTCATACTCTATGAGGGTGAGACTTGGCCCTCCGATCTGACGACCTGCGATGCCTTCAAGTCTTCGATGATTGTTACCTGTGAAGTACTGTTGGTGTATGGGAGCACCAGCGTGCCTCCAAGGATGATGTGCGTAGGCGAGTGCTAGGCACTGATAAAAATGTTAGTTCCTTAGAACGACAGATAGCACTGAATAAGTTGCGTTGGCTTGGGCACGTACTACGTATGCCCGCTTACCGAGGAGGGCATTGTTTTCTTCGCTAGATGAATGGTGGCGCAAGATTAGAGGTGAGCAAAAGGGAAGTTGGCTGCGGAAAATGAAATCACAGACGACCAAACTCGGTGCCGT